ATAAAAACTTGCTTGTGAATCAATGCCCAAAAATAAAACCATTGTAAAAAAGAGAATTGACCAAACATTTGTATATGGTAGTTGTAGGATTCCGGATGGATAAGCCAAAAAAAGGAGACCTGGACCAGACTGTGCTACCTGAAGGCATTCTTGTCCAAAAACCCCACAAAATGTTGTGATGTTCAAATTTTAAGTTCAGCGAAAACTTTAAGTCTAATCAAAGTTTCAATCCACTAATCAACTAATTTCAATCTAATTAAAATTTCAATCCGTAATATCTAAACTTATCGAAATTCACTGAAGAAATTTCCAATAAATATTCGTTCGTAATTTACAGTCCTTTAATTTTTGAAGCAAAAATTTCAATTAGCAAAATTTTATTGAATTTGAGCTAAATTTACAAATGAGATAAGATTTAAATGATTGCCTCGTTAACGGGTTTGCCTTGTTCAACAGCCATGAAGCCAATGAATGAAAAGATAACGAAACCAGCAAAAACGCTTGTCGCACTATTTACAAAGCATATTGTTAATGCTTGCCTGCAAATTTCATAAGGATTTAAATTTTAAAAGTGTTAGAAATGATAATTTAACCATAATGCTACAATAAAAAAAATCATATACCTGTAAATGTTATTATGATACGAATTGTAACTACCAAGTGCAACAAGAGCGCCTAGTCCAAGGCCATATGAAAAGAAAACTTGTGTGACAGCATCCACCCATACTTTACTTTCCAGAAGCTTCTCAAAATTCGGTTTTAGATAAAATTCAAGACCCAAACTTGCGCCTGGTAATGTTAATCCACGTATCAGCAAGCAAATAAGCATTAGGTATGGAAATGATGCAGTGAGATAAACGATCTGCAATTAGCAATAATGATAACCTATCATTTATCATGCCATGCAACAATAGTTACAATTCTCATTGTATCTTTTATTAAAATTAAATCAATTTGCTTCAAGAACACTTCCCTTTTTTCTGTAGCAATGTAGCAAACTGCAACATATAAACTGACTATTACATTTTAAAAAGGAAATTTAATTTGATGCAATGAACCTTTCCAGTCCATCGAACACCCTTAAAAATGCACAAATAGCATATTGTCCAAGCGATTAGTAAAAAGAAAGCAAGATCCCAACGTAATCCTCCCGGTTCCTCGATTCCCGAACTAATACCAAGCACTTGATAGCTGGAACATTTTTTTTTTCATGTAAAATTCTTATTGAAATAAAATTTGATATAAGTAGCTTTTGCATAATAAAAGGTTTATTTGATTTTATGAAGCATAAACGAACTCCCAGTATTCTTTAACAGGTGATTGAACATTCAAATCATCACTACTACAAATGGTCCAATTCGATTTTGGACCAACGAAGAATTGTTTACGATATTCATTCAAATGATCACTTGTTAATACCTTAAATGTTAAATTTTTTACATACATTTCACTTTTTTTAATTAATTTATCAATCAAATTTCACAATTCTATTTGAGAATTTTTCCTCTTTTGAATTTTTTCGTTGTTGAATCTTCTCTCACAATATTCTTTCTTTTTTTCTTTTCGTCTTTTCTTCGAATATCCCTCAACACAAACTATCAAAATTATTAGGAAGTAGTATCGGGGTAAAGACATCGTTTTTATTGAACCTGCACATCGAAATACTTCGCAACTGTTCTGTTATTATCACAAGTTAGTGGTTCATATTCACTGCGACATCGAGGAGTGTTCCATCTATAAATTTGTCAATTCTTAACTGCTAATCGAATTACTAGTTTATCAAATTTCATCAAGATATATTGAAATAATTTAAATTTCTAATTGATTTCATTATTTCGACATTTTGATAAAAATTACTTGCATTGCGAATTAAGAAGAAAAAATTGCACATTTCTGTCATCGAATATTGAGAATTTTTGAAGGGTAAAATGAAAATTTAAAAATTTTTATCAATTTAATTTACTGATGATCACAATTTCGCCATGGAACATTTGAATCCAATCGAATCGATTCCCATAGATAACACATTGCCCAACTTAGAACTACAATGTAATAAATGTTGAGCCAAAATGCCATCACGGCAGCGGCTATTCCAACACCCTTTAAAATGTGACATATTAAAATTATGCATTGAACTTAAAAATCCACAGAGATTTCAGAATAAAGATAAAATGATTACTTTGAAAATTGGACAAATTTTGAACATTCCAAGTCCACCAATACTCAATAGCTGTCCCCATGTTGTCTCCAATATGAAAAGAGGTGCTCCACAAAATATAAGTGATATCACATAAGGTATTAGGAATGCTCCTATAAAGATCAAAAATTTAAAAAAAAAGAACAAAAAACAAATTTTTTGTC